ATAAGAATAAAAAAAAAAAGTCACTAGCTACCATGATCATCTTCAATGTTAGGATGATAATTTCGTGAGTTTCTTTATGGCAGATACTTTATGCAAATGCTGGCTTCTTTTCCCTTTGCACCTAAGGTGTGAGTGAGCTAGGGATGTCAGTGTGTGTCATTCACATTTCGTGGATGAACACGCAGGCCTCCGTGGTTCCATCCCGCTCCTTACCATTCGCCATCTGAGCCGTAGGACCTGCACGCCTGCAGTTACACAATGTAACTCTGCCGTCCCTTACAGAGCTTTCATGGTGGCCTGGGGGACAGGAACCCCTGGGGCCCTTTCTCTTTGAAACTGCTTTGTTGTTTCATTTTTCCTAATCCTGCAGACTTGCAATCAGCATATCACTATAAATTCTCAATTTTGAACTTGAAGATAGAATAATTAGATAAAATAATTCATTTTCATAAAACATTATTAATCTGCCTTTTTTTTTTTCAGCTCAGTCACAACCTAATTGTATAGTGTGTTTCCTTCAGTAAACCCACAATTATCAATGTGTTTTTATGGCTGTTAAAATATACTTGGCTCAGTCCTTACTTCAAAAAGCTCAGACTCTCATTGTGCTAGGAAGATAAGATGCACAGAAAGACAGCTGCATGCTAAGTATTAGGTGTTAAGTCACTTTAGAAATAAACAGGGTGTAGAGACGGGACAAATGGACCCTCTCTGAGGCAGTTTAGCAAGACCTCCCATAGAGGACGGTGTTTTCTGGGCCTTGAAGATGAGAAGTGATTCAGGAAGCAGATACCAATGTAGAAGGGTATCCCAAACGGGACAGTGTGAGTGAGGGGGAGGAGCATGTGAGGGAGACAGTCTGTAGACCGTTCCACTGAAATTAAAGACGCACAAAAGACTGCTTCCGTGAGTAGGAACAGTAGCTAGGTCCACAAGGAGAAGGGCCTGGATCACTCAGGCTGAGAACAGTGGTGAGCAGCAGGGAACAGGATGGAAGTTTCATTTCAGGAAAATTGATTTGAAGAGAGTTTTCAGGATACATGAAATAAGAAGAGCCTGGAAAATAAGACCGGTTAGAAAGCAATTTTGGAAACCCAGGTGTGGAGTGATCGCCTAAACACAGCGGATGCAGGGTGAACTGAGGAGGCGGAAGCAGGGAGCCCATCTGCAGCACCTGTGAGGGACCAAAGAAGAGGAGCAAATCAGAGAACTAGAGCAGGCTGGCAGCCCGGACGCAGGAGGCTGCAGCGGGGTGGCCAGGGAGGGTGGGGGTGCGTGGCAGGCCTCCAGGGTGCAGACCCTCGAAGATTAGGTAAGGGACAGGCGCCAGATTGCACAGTGGTCACCAAGGGACAGGACTGTCAGCTTATTAAAGATTGAGATGGATTAAAGTTTTAAGAAACGTGGTTGAAAGGAGAGAGGTTGGACAGGGGCTAGAGGGAACCAGTTAAATTTTTTTCCTAAGAAGGGAAAGACTGGCTCAGATTTGGCACCAGAGCAGGGGCCACTGGGAGGAGAGAACATACAGGAGGCCCCCGAGAAGGAGGTGTGCACGGAGGGGCCTGTGGATGCAAGGAGGCCTCTCTGTGCCTGAGATGGGATGGGAAAATAGCCGGGGGGTGGCATAGGGATGATGTGGGAGCCTCTCTAGTTCGCCTTAATGGACTTGAGGTAGCAAGTCATCATTTATCAAGGTTGCGAGGGGCCAGAGCCCGAGATTGAAGGCTGACAAGCATGGAGAAGATTTGGAATGGCCTAGGGATTTTCAAAATTAAAAGTCAAATGGCTCAATTGCCAGCAGCTAAGAGGTGGACGGAGTCCCTTTGCAAGTGTGCGATGGAGTGGGTGGCCCAAGAGGCGTCTAGCCCAGAGCTCAGTGGGTGGGAGCGTGCAGCGGGATCTGTGGCCTCAAGGGGTGCTCTCCGTGGGGTTCCAGGGAGCCTTTCAGTTTAGAAGATGCCTCTTCCCGAACGCACTGACCTGCTTTGCACCGTGCTCCCCGCTGCCCTTATGGCATTCCCTATCCTTGGCACAGGTCCTCGCGGCCCCTGCGGTGACCCAGGGCCGTTCTAACAGGCGGGAGGAGCACGCAGGTGATTGGTGCCGCCCTTTGTGGTGGTGCTTGTTAGCCCTGCCGTACGGACACCATGCGGGACGGCCGAAGCTGGTTCGCAGTCGACTCACTGCCGCGTCTTTTGCAGTCCAAACCAGGTCGCAGAAAAGGTGGCCTCCAGAATTGCCGAGGGCTTCAGCGATACGGCTCTCATCATGGTGAGTCCCTCTTGGGTGCTGTCGTGTTTTCTGTTGCCGAGCATCCTCTGGCTAACATGGAGCTCTGTCCCATGAGTGGTCTGTGCAGACGCTCCAGCAGGCCGGTGCTGCCCTCTGTGGTGTCCTCCTGGCTGCAGCCTCAGAGCTGCTGAATCGCAGGCGCAGTGTGGATGCCATAGCATGCTCCACGTCCCCACGGCGGCGGTGGGGGGGGGGCTCCCGCTCAGCGGTTCTCAAAGTGGGGTTCTGTGCCAGCACCACTTGGGAACTTGTCAGAAGTGCAGATTCTCGGGTCTCAGCAGGCTGCTTTAATAAGCTTCCAGATGATTCTGACACACGCTTAAGTGTGAGAGCCACTGAATTAGCCAACAGCCCACAGGGAAGGAAGAAGTCAGACAGTAGCGAACATTAAAAGCCTTGTTACACAGGCTCAGTTCAGACAATTCTAACAGGGAGGGAAAAAGTAATATTCAGAAGCTCCGCTTTTGTGGAGTACTTAGCATTTATTCTCCATAACACACAGTTAACCTCAGACCACACTTGAGGTGTGATTGCATGCGTTGGATTTTCAGTGTCTGCACCACGGGGAGGTGCCTGAGGACTTCCAGAAACGTGCCGGCTGCCGGCTCTTTGTTAGCTCTGTTCACGAGTGCATCCTTTGTCTTGTGCGCAGGTAGACAACACTAAGTTTACGATGGACTGCGTGGTGCCTACGATCCATGTGTACGAACACCATGAAAACCGATGGCGGTGCAGGGACCCACACTAGTGAGTGCTGCGTGCTCGCGATGACCTGTGTGTACTACGCTGGGGGCTGTTCCTGGGCACCCAGCGCCCACTGGGAGGCTGGCCCCGGCCTTCTGTTTTTAAGTTAGCAAATTCTCCAGGGCAGTGTACAAACCTCATACAGGAATCATGCATGCTTCCTGGCTCCTGAGAGAGCCTGAGTGTTACCCCTGGGTCGTCTGCCCCCTGCCCTAGGGCGCTGCTCTCAGGCGTTTGCTTTGGTCATTAATAATCACTCAGAAAGCATCCACCATCCCGCTCCAGCTTCTTCAGATCTTCACTTGGAGGGGGTCTCTTTCAGTTCTTAACCATGCTACATATTCTTCATGCACATCTCTGTGTGTTTGAAACTTGAGTGTCTGCTAGCATTCACGATTGTTTTCCTTTATACCACTGTGTGTGTGGCCGGTTTTCTGTTTCCTCTGTTGGAAAGCCACCTGTTTTCCGCTGAGAGGCTGATCTCTCCTGTTTCACCTCATAGTGATTACTGTGAAGACTGGCCAGAGGCCCAGAGGATCTCAGCGTCACTCCTGGACAGCCGGTCCTATGAAACACTTGTGGATTTTGATAACCACCTGGATGACATTCGGAATGACTGGACAAACCCAGAGATCAATAAAGCTGTTCTGCATCTGTGCTAGGGAGGGGTTTTAGTGACTGGTCTCTGGGTGTTTCCACTACACTGAAGAAGAAAGCTATTTTTAAATGTAAATAAGATCTCTCGTAGCCTGTGTGGGAAGCGGACAGTTAGCAGAGGTGGTTGTGCCCTGATAGGGCAGAGTGTCCCTCACCATCTTTCTAATTCAGAGTCTCTAGAAGAGGTGCACACTGTCCCACCTGACCGTCCCTGTGGAGTCCTTCCCAGTTATATGTTGCTCTAATCCTCCAAATCAAAGCTGTTTCTGCTTGTCTGAGATTGTTCCTATTAAACAGTTTTAACTAACCTTTTATAATCTGGAGAGAATACCTTTTAAGGCTTATGAATTACCTTTAAAAGAAAAAAGCCCAGATCTTATACTCGCGTGGGTGTTTGTGAGTTTTCATCCTGTTGGGGTTCGTGTGGTCCGGGATCCGGTGCGCGGCGTGCCGCTGTTCGCAGTGGGAGGCTGCGGCTGTGAGCAGCGCTGCCCCGCTGGTCGGGCTCACGTAGCCGCCGCGACTGCACAGTGGGAATAATGCCACTGTTGCCTGAGAAACCGTCATCGTTAAGGGTAAAAACAGACGGGGGCGCCTGGGTGGCTCAGTCGTTAAGCGTCTGCCTTCGGCTCAGGTCATGGTCCCAGGGTCCTGGGATCCAGCCCCGCATCGGGCTCCCCGCTCCGCGGGAAGCCTGCTTCTCCCTCTCCCACTCCCCCTGCTTGTGTTCCCTCTCTCACTTCTCACTGTATTGCTCTCTGTCAAATAAATAAAATCTTTAAAAAAAAAAAAAAAAAACCAGACGCTGCCGCCGGTAATGGGAACTTGGATGCGAGCACAGTGTAATGCTTCTCAATCAACCAGAAAGCTCGCAAACCTGCGGAATCAAAACAGGGAAAATGGAGCTGCGTTCAGATGATCTTTAAAAGGCAAAAATCAGTCCCAACCCCTAACTCACTTCCATGATTATCTTAAATGGTTCTACTCTGTGTACTCAAAATAATTGTTTCTTTTGTCTTTGAAGCAACAAAAGCCAAATAAAACTTAGACTCCCCAGGTTTTACAGAGCACTCTGTATAGTTGGAACACTGGGTCAGACCTAGGAGATGATGGGGAGACTCTGTGGTTCTGCTGCATTGTTTTCTTTCCTAGATGAGTCATTTTCTCTGCCCTTTCTTCAAACATGTCTTCCCCTTAATTTTTGAAGCTGGTGTTACTTGGTGTGAGGACACGGATGGAGGGGGTGACGGGTCGGCGTGCTCCGTTTTCCTCACTTCTCTCGCCTCAGACGCCCGACCCGTGACAGATGGAATGCAATGAGCAGTCTCGTCCTGACTGGGCTTGTGTGTGTTTCAGAAAGGGAGAAGGATCACCTCCAGCATTTACCACACACAAAAAGAGGCTCTTTTCCTGGGATTAAAATGGGCACGTGCTACCTGCAGCTCAAGGTCAAGGGGAACTGGCTGAGCTATTTGGAATGAAGGTGTGGCTAAGCCTAGTTTTGGAGACATTTTAAAGACCACCTCCTGTTTTCCCTCATTTTCACCTCTATCTGGAATTCTCGTACTTGTTTTTCGCATCAGCTTCCCAGGAATGTAGTGCCACCGTCCAGTTCGGATTTCGGCCTAGAACCAGGCTCCCTCTCCATGGCTGAGTCAGGCTTAGGTTTGTGGAAGGACTCATGTTAAATATTCCGAAAGGAAGAATGTATCTTTAAAAAAACAAAAAGATTTCCAAGATGCAGATGCCAGCTCCTACATTCTTGTAAAAACAGCAGAAGCCTGTGCTCGATTCCCCTGCCTCTTGCCTCCAGGCCTTGCTGTGCAGTCTCGGGGGCCCTGAGAACCAGATCCCCGTTTCCCTCCCAGGGATGAAAGTAAGAACCTGCCAGGTAGCTGCACATTCATATTCATACTCTGCCTTTTTCTAGAAAAGACTTAAATGAACTGACACAAAGTATATTTGTATACTGAAAAATTCTTTGTCCATCAAAATGTTCCTAAATAGTTCTTTCTCACTTGAATCCAAGGGATCGGAGGGCAAGGGGTGTGTGTAGAGGTGCCCCTCAGAGCCAGCCAAGTGCTCAAAATCATTCTGGTGGACCTTGTCTCTTCCGTGGCACCCATCCAGTAAGAAATGAGCAGGACAGGTAAATTATTAACGGATAAAAATGTCATTTCCATTTCTAATCATGGTCGCCTTTAAGAACTGAGTACACTGAGGGCGCCAGGGTGGCTCAGTCGTTAAGCGCCTGCCTTTGGCTCAGGTCATTATCCCAGGGTCCTGGGATCGGGTCCCGCATCGGGCTCCCTGCTCCGCGGGGAGCCTGCTTCTCCCTCTCTTGTGTTCCTGCTCTCACTATGTCTCTCTCTGTCAAATAAATAAATAAAATCTTTAAAAAAAAAGAACTGAGTACACTGAATGTGGAAGGTCTTCAGGAACTTCCCACATAACAAAAGCAGCATGCTCGCTAGGGGGAAATCGGCCTTGCTAATTCTAATTAAATTGGGTTGATTTAGAATAGAAAACAACTTAGAAACCTTGAGCAATTTAAATCTTCAAGTCCGTTTTCCGGGGATACGGTATTTTCAGGCCACCTTGGTGTAAAAAGTCGTTGTGTAATTAGTTTTGGTTGAACAGCTTATTTCTCGGATACACTTGGCCAACCTATTGTTCCCAGGTATAGTGATTCCTAGTTATGAAAGAAAAATACTTGCTTCTGAAACTGCCCCTTTTTGGTACTGTCTGACCCCAGTAGCTACTTCATGACATCATGGTAGGTAGATGCAAGAAAAATAGCCACCAGCATCAATCTCTGGACCCTGCAGGCATGTTTAGCCATTTTAGTGAAGACAGCGGAATCTAAAGGTAGACTTCCATTTTACTAACTGACATTCCTTGAGGCTTTTCATCAACTCAGTTGCCTCTTAAACATTGGCTTTTCCTTCTCCAATTCAGGAGAAGGCCTGGCAGAAAATGTTGGTTTGTGTTCCCCCTGCCAACTCTCAGGTAGGCAATGTAGTAATCTGACTTCACGTCCTTGTGCTTCAGAATCCAGGGGATAACTTGAATATTTTTATCATAATTTTGACTTATTTCTTCTTAAAATGCCTGAGATACCTTTGAATGGGATGCAAAATCTGATCAGCTTTGCCATTTCTTAGAATAAATTGCTGTTCTTCCAAGGATCCTTTTTTTTTTTTTTTTTTTAAGGATTAACATCTTGGGGTAGACATTTCCTTGCTGTGATCTGAAGATTTTTCTTTAGAATACAAGACCTCGTCCAGCGTTAGAACTGCCAAGAGTTGTGTTCTTGGTCTTCTGCTTTCAAAGCAGTGGAACGATTGCCAGCAAAGCACCCACTTGAATCTGACTGGAGGAAACCTTTGGCCCGAACCTGTGTTGCCTTGCAAAGCAGAACAACATACTATATTTAGCGCTGTCCAAACAAATGTCCCAGATACCATTAATAAACCTGTAAATAATTGCGTTTCAGAATGATGGTGAAGTTCTGTGGGCAAGGCTGCTGGCCTGGCACGGCCCACAGTTGCTGGGGAGTCTATCCCAAGGCAGGACACCGGCCAGTTTTCCAAGGGCCCTGGGTGAATCTCGGGCACTGAGGATCCAGTGAAGCCCAAGCTGGACAGGAGTCAGTACCCTCCAGGTCCCCTTCTCCATAGCGGCCTCGTTACCAAGGAAGAGTTGCTCATTTCTCAGCACGGGGTTTTCTCAGAAAGGAGAATCTTTCTGTTGCCTCCAGCAGTGCCTCACTCCCTGCTTCTTCGGCAGGAGGTATGTGGTAGTGAGTCGTGGCAAGGGCCAGGTGTGAATCCCAGCTTCACCGCCTTCGCGCTCACAGCACATGCTGTGAGCACGTTGTCTCTCGTGTCTTGTCTGAAACAGGAGGTGATAATGCCTGTCTGCAGGAATCTCATGAAGACCAGAGGGAAGAATACATGTGCTCGTGCTTAGCGGAGCATGTTAGGGCCCTGTTGACGGGAGTTCCTCACTGCTAATGTTTTAACCATTCCAGGCCAGACTGAGAAGGAGCCAAGTGCTTATTTGTGGTAGACATCCAGTGCATGGTCAGTAAATGAGTGAATGAACGAAAGCCTCCCTTCTCAAAAGGTAACCGCAGCTTACATCTCCGCCATCCCTTTCCTTTACATTCACCTGCCCAGCCGCCCAGGGATGCTTCGGGGCCTTGTCTGCATTTTACAGGTGGGAACCAGGGCCCAGGTGCGCATGCACATCTGTCTGAGACAGACCAGAAGGGGAGGCAAGGGCTTCGGGTGCGGCCCCTCCCCTGGGAGACCTCTTTCCCACTCCCCCTGGACTTCCTGCCGCCGCCCCGGTGCTAACACATTTTCCTCCTTACTGTGACCTCAGTATATGCTCACGGCAGAAAATGAGGAAGAAATGTAGTCACTCCCTTCCACCATTCTCGGCCCCCCCACCAAGACAAGGTAGAAAGCAGATCTGCAGATCACCTGGGCACCTTTAATGTTCTGCATATTGAGATGAACCTTGGAGGAGCTTTTAAGAGGTAGAAGGTGTAAATGCAAGTTATTAGGAAATGTGTGCAGATCCCTAGGCCCAGACCCCAAGCAATTTTTTTTTTTTTAAGATTTTATTTATTTGAGAGAGAGCCAGCGTAAGCAGGGGAGAGGGGCAGAGGGAGAGGGAGAAGCAGACTCCCCGCTGAGCAGGGAGTCCGATGATGTGGGGTCCGATCCCGAAGGCACCCGCTGAGCCACCCAGTCGCCCCAGCCCCAAGCATTCTAATTCACTGTGATTCTGGGCCCAGAAGTTGACATTTTTAGCCGGTAGATTCAGGCCACAGTTTTACAAACCCTAGTCTCTGACCAAAGCCCGTGCTTTACCCTGAAGAATTTCAGATCCCCAGGAATCCAACAATTCAGGCAGCCAGGGCCTGAGGCACTGGACCATTAGGCTGACCCCTGAAACTGCTAACTGGGGAGGGCAGCGGCTGAGAGCCTCATGGCTCCACGGGGCGCAGGCAGGCAGAACCCAGACTCCTGAGTGAGCTCTGTCGCAGCAGGAGGTTCTTTGATTTTTTTCTCTTTTAAAATGTATTGCACACAGAATGCACAAAATGTGTGCTTCACCTTTGAGCAGTACAAAGCAGATTGATGCCAGACTCCCGGCTTGTGAACAATCTCAGAGCCTTAGACCCAGGATGGTAGAGCCAGCTCAGTGTCTTACACGTCTTTAATTTTCCAAGTTTGGTCTCGAATCGGTCCTGTGCTTCCCGCTTGCAGGAGGCAGCTTCACAGCCCATGTCCCTGGAGCCCCGTCCTGGTCCCTGCGTATTAGGACACGCCCACAGAGACCTGCTGTAAATCAGCTCAAACAAAA